TTTCCTTTGTTCTGTATGTATGTTTTTAGGTTTGCATTGGAAGGGATGTTGAACCTTTGGATCCCATAGATAATGACTGGTGACCTTTTCTTTTTCCTTTTCCTTTTCTTTTTATATATTTTAAACTGGGTATCCAAAGTTTGTTTTGGTGGTGTTTGATTTCAAAATTCACTCTGATTAGCAGAATGCAATGTATTAGTGGAAATCATGAGCCCACCTTGTATTAGTCAAAAACTAAGTCTTTATATTACTTTAGAGCTTTTCTCCAAGTCAACTTATAATGCTTATTATGTTCTTTCCCTCTCCAATTAAATTTCAATGCAAAGGCAAAAATGGACTCAATTTTTTTTCCTAATCACAATGATTCTTGATTTTTATTTGAGGAAATAATGTGAGTCCCAAGTGGTGCATATTGCTTCAAAGTGATGATATTGTTCCTTGAGTCATGATAAAGCCAAGCCCAGGTCATCATCATGTGATTCTTTTGAACAGGACAACAAATATAAAGTGCATCCCACTCCTTTTTTGATTTCTTTTAAATAAAAAATAATATTTACCTAATACTAAAGATGTAATCAAGAACAAATTCTAGATTTTTCCTCAGGATTCTTGGATAAAGACTAGCACGGGAGATCATCATCATTATTGTACTCTAAATTTCATAGCAAATTGACCCTAATGAAAACAGGTGGCGTGATTTTCAGTACCTAACGAGATGTTAGTGGCTGAGATTACTCCATTAATCTCTGGCAGTTAGCTAGTCAAATTTTCTGAATTTTGTACCAACAACAATAAGAGCAGCCATTTACTTGACCTAATCCTAGCCATTGTAATTGGAAATCCCAAAGGTATTAGTCTAATTAAGTGTCATCAGATTAAGTTGGAGCTAACTTCAGACTTTTGGGGCCAAAATAGTAATTTTATTTACATAAAATTGTATCTACTGAAAATTGCCTCAGGTATTGATTTAAATGTAAGAAGCTCAACAATTATCATCCAAAGGCCCTATGTATAAAGAGAGGGCAAAATTTTGGTCACTTTTAAGCTTCACATCAACCATTAAAATTATTGTACGTTCATTTCTTTTTGGATTTTGAATTCTCAATATATGAACTCTCCACTGGCTTTGCAGGTGGGACTAAGATAGAAATGATAACACCTCTGTATAATTGTCTTTCATATTTCAATTATTGACAAACTTGGGTGTTTGCTGCAGGGAATTTTAAGTTCTCTTAGTTTGGTCCGAAATACTGCAATCTGGCGCTTAAATTAATAATATATTTCTGAAAATTCTGATACATTTGTCAATACTATAAGCTATTTTACTACATTTAAGGACGAATTTAAGGATTCACGGCAATGATTTGTAGCAGGATAAATGAATCGGTTGTCGGATTATCTTGAAAAAATTCTCTCTCAACAGGTGATAAAATAACTGATTTTTTATTAGATGACGAGAAATATCATATGGTTGTAGCAACTGGGCCTTAGCTGTTGAACACCATATGATTCAAAAACCAATTATAAGGCCCAGGAGTTAATGGGTTCAGTACTAATTTGGTGCACTTGAATTTTTAAATCAGATATATGGTTGTGCTAAAATTTCGCTAAGCCCGTATTCCTCTGTT